GAGGGTTGATTTGGTTGGCTCGTGCTCCAGAGGGTTACAGTCTGGTTAAGCCTGCAACTTCGGTCTGCAGCCCACGCACGAACTTCGTTAGTCTTCGTCTGCAGCAAGCGTTTACACGTTCATTCGCAGCCGTCACATCACATCCAACAGACTGTGAGCCAACACTCTGAGCAGAGCCAGGTTCTGGGCACCTGCGCAGTGCCCTGGAGCGCCGGGCTTCCGAGTTGAACGTGGAAGAGTCCGTGACCTTCGCGAAGGCTCTCTTTAGAGCCCAGCGGGGCTTAGCCTTTATATAATATATAACATATACAAAAAATATAATATAATATTATATATATATATATCTGTCTCTCTCTCTCTCTCTCTTCCATGTGATGCCCTGGCCCTGTGAAGGCGCTGCAGCCGGGGACGGAAGAGCACCTGAGGTACATGGCAGCCTGTGATGCGGCATCTCGGCCCAGAACGGAGTTCAAGAGCTCTGCCTCTCTTTGTATCTTCTTGCTGGGTGCAGAGGTCATCCTCCTGCCTTGCCCAGAAGCCTCAGGTGGTCATACCAGCACGACAAGACTTCTATGGCGTATCTGTCATTGAAAGCTGGGCAGCTGGCAGGCAGGGTGCATTTTTGTGCAGTGTGTTCATGTAGAGCCTTGTTTCTGTCTAAGCTTCGTTTCGGGATCCGGGATAGCTGCGTATGCTGCATACGGTGCGGTGTGAGACGGTCCTTGCAGCGTAAGGCCCGTCGTGGGTGGTTCTTGTGGTGAGCTTCCACGACTTGTGCAACCGAATGTCACTGGCTACCTTGTCGACCAGGATATCGCTTGTACGCGGGGTTGTTGTTGCTGGCCATGTCTCTATACTGTTCGACTGCTGCCTCATGTTGTGTCACCTGTGAGCTGGGTTGAAATTTCAATGCCTGTCGCGCTTCAATGAAGGAGTCAGGCAGCATCGCCTGGGGTCTCTGCAAGATTTGTGAGAACCGGGAGCATGCTCGCCACCTGCCCAGAAAGACTTTTGGGAAACGGTACAGTCTGGGATTCATCTCTAAAGCCATGGCCCAGGTTGGATGGGCGAGCAAGGGCAACAGCAAGTGCAGCAGCATTTCCTTTGGGACTTCCTGGCGAAACGCACGGAGGAGGTCTATCTTAGCCTGCTCGGCCTTGAGGAGCAAAACCCCCCCCCCCCCCCAAGCCCTAAAATTCCTAAACCCTGAAGCACCTTAAGCCTCCCCAAACTCCCCTTTGGGGCATCAGGAGGCGCCGGCTGCGGAAGTCGCCAGGGCCGGGAGGAGCCCGAAGCCTCCGCTGGCCGCCTCGCTCGGCCATGGCGCCACCGCGCTCCTCAAGCTGGGCCGCCGCTTGGCTTGGGGGCTCTTGGGGAAATTTGAAAAGGTAGCGCTCCGGCCGCAGGATCTACTGCACACGCTGGCACGAAAATCGTAGAGATTGAGTGCAGACCGTTGAGGTCAAGGATGCACGAAGGGTTCGGGTTTAGGGTTTAGGCTCTTGCCTTCTGCTTGTCCCGCTTAGGAGTTCAGGGTCTTTTCTCGCTCCTTTTTCTTTCTGTCGTCTGAGAAGCTTGAGAAAGTGCGGGAGACTGTCATCCATAGCCATTGCTGCTGCCATAGCTTCACGCAGATGCATTGCGTGACACGTCTTGTTGTGAGGTGGAGTAGTGGAGCAGGGTCAAGAGAGGAGCGTGTGTGTATGCGGAGGGTGCGGTAAGCTGAGGCTTGCTGTTCCTGGGTTTTGGAGGCGATGCCACTCTGACCTGCCTGGGAAGCGACTTTGGCTGGATTGGCGCCTCGGCTGTTCGCTTCCCTGTGTGGACGCTGCAGATGATGCTTGGGACTCGCAGTTGTCGATGCGGCGGTGTCAAAGCCAAAGCTTCTCCAAATTAGCTTGCCCTTCTCTGAGGCAAGATCGACTTCCCTAGAAAGAGCAATGAGTTCAGCGATGAGCATGCTCGCTTCCCTGTAGAGCTCGCTTCTGCCGTGAGCTCGGCCAGTTTCTTCAAGTCTTGTCGCGTTGGCCAAGCCTGCAGTCCTGAGGACGCCAAGTGCCACTACAGGAACTTGGCTATGTTCCAGATGTGCCTCCTTCGAACAGAGCGGAGTCTGCAGTGGTTGGCGGATCCCAAGCCTGAGGTGATCTACAAGGCACTCGCAGCAAAGAGACAGGCAGTGATGTAGGGGTGTTTCCACCGACTGTCAGGACGAGAAGAAGCAGGTGCTAGTCTTCACGCGTGGCGTGGGGATCATATTTGCCATGAACTTCAACACCAGCGATTCGAACTTTAACTTCGACATCCTTCAGCTGAAAGGCGTGCAGATTTACATAGTCAGACCTCCTTCGAGCCGTAGCTCCGCAGCCTCGTTGCGAGGTGTGTCATGTGCATTCAAGATAGTGGGGCAGCCCAGAGCAGATTGCAGAACATCAGCTTCCTGCAAATCCTTCCGAGCCGACCTGTGTGTACTGAGGTCTTCAACACGCAGGACAAGCGCTTCGGGGGCCTCGGCTCGGGCACGGTCACAGTGCCGGCAGAGGTTCCCGTCACGGAAGGGACGATGAAGCTGCTGTTACCGGCCGCTCGGAGCAGGGCCCAGAGGGCCCCAAACAGCAGCCCAATTATCGGGTTCTTGGATTTTCCTCTAGGAGCCTCTTGCAAAGGCTCAGACCGGCGTAGTGCTCGTGCCGGGAGTCTGCGCGGAGGGCTTGTCTTCGGAGATTTGGCTGCAAGGGATGAATTTTCGCTCGCCTTTTTTTGATGCTGCAGGAGATACATTTCCTCCTCTGTAACCTATGCATGTTCCCGCTGCCTCCTATGCAGGCCTTAATTAGACCGAATATGTATGTATGCATGATATATTATATAGGCTTTGTCTACCCAACGGACGCTTTTTGACATGAAGAGCTTTCGCCGTTGTAGCAGACGACTTTCTCCCTTCATCGTTTTGCAGGAATCTCTCTGTCGTAAGTGCAAGGACAAAACTCTTCAGCTCCAATCATCAGATGCCTTCGTCGACCTGATTGCAGATGCATCTTGTCCGCACTCTGGCGACCGTGGGCTTAGTCCTTCGTGCTTCTCCTCCGAACTGCCAGAGACACAAAACCGAGCTGGTAGTTACCAACAAGACTGCACTGAGCTCAGGATCAGTCTGCAGTTTGCCCGATCAGCTTTTGCAAGCAGCTTTCATTTGCCACTCGGCATGGTCAAGTCCTTTCCATGAGACTAGACGGCTTCGAGACCATGTCAATGTGATAGTTTGAAAGCTCCAGGCAGACCTCGCAGCTGATTTCAAGCAGCGGCGCGAGCAGGAAGGCACTACGACTGCCTGTGAAGCAGCTGCAAAAAGCCAGGCTGCTGAAGAATTTGAGAAGGAAGCAGCAAAAAACGAGGCCGCACGCAGAGAGGCTGCAGAAAGAGAGGCTGCTGAACAACTCAAGCAACAAGCCGCGAAGAAAGAGGCCGCCCGCAGAGAGGCTGCAGAAAGACAGGCTGCTCTACAACGTATGCAAGAAGCCGCCAAGAAAGAGGCCGCCCGCAGAGAGGCTGCAGAAAGAGACGCTGAACAACTTAAGCAGGAAGCCACCAAGAAAGAGGCCGCCCGCAAAGAGGCTGCAGAAAGGGAGGCTGAACAACTTAAGCAGGAAGCCGCCAAGAAGGAGGCCGCCCGCAAAGAGGCTGCAGAAAGAGAGGCTGCTCTACAACGTATGCAAGAAGCCGCCAAGAAAGAGGCCGCCCGCAGAGAGGCTGAACAACTTAAGCAGGAAGCCACCAAGAAAGAGGCCGCCCGCAAAGAGGCTGCAGAAAGAGAGGCTGAACAACTTAAGCAGGAAGCCGCCAAGAAAGAGGCCCCCCACACAGAAGCTGCTGAACCGGTTAAGGAGGAAGAAGCAAGGAAAGAGGCTGCCCGCAAAGCAGCTGCGGAAAGAGAAGCTGCTGAACGACAAGCCTTCAAAGATGCTATGAAGAGGGCAAGTGAGAAGCCATCTGGGGATGAGGTGAGCAACACGTCCTGAGTCTTGTCAACGGGGGCCGATTGCCGACATGCTGGACACATGCCCAGCTGTGCAGGACGAAAGCCTTTCTCCTGAATCTCCGGAAAAGTGCAAAGGGCCCGAGCTTCGAGCAAGTCAAAGCCACGGAGAGGATGCTCAGGATGCAATAAGATAACCAGCCACAAGGCCGAACTTAAAGTTTGCTGTGCCCGGTGCCTGAGGAAAAGCCATCAGGTACTGTGGCAGGGAGGAACACCAACAACGAAGTCGGCACGGGTGAAGAGGACCATCGTGAGTCATCATGTCAGGCACAAGATGGATCTACCGCCCATTGTCTTCATGGTTCAGAAGAGAGTTGAAGTGGGGATTTTCAGACGAGGATGCCCCAAAAGAGGGCAGGCGCAGGTAACGTTGATGGGTCAATCCCCAGTTGTCATCGGAAAGCAAGTTGGAGTGTCGCAGTGCCACGTTCAGGAAGCTGCACCATGAGGTAACGGAGCCACGAACTGAAACAGCTTTGACACGCTTTTAGAGGTTTAGCGCTTAGGGGTTTAGGGTATAGGCTTTAGGGTTCATGGGTAAAGTCTGCTGACTACAAGCGCAGGACGAGTCCGCCCCTGGCAAGCGATGGCTCGCCAAATACTGGATGTGAAGCGGGACACGTCTCTGACCAGTACAGGCCAAAGAAGCCAAGTGAGCTAATGTTCTCTACGTGGAGTTTTCCAGAAGTGGACCCGGTAATAAGCGAAACTTTTGAATTCTCGCTGCACAGCCTTAGCCTTGAGGCAAGGACTTTGAAGCCGAGTCATGACTACAGCCGCAAAAGCCTGCCCACCTCTGCAAGGGAGTTCAGCTTTGCGGTGGCTTCTCTAGCGACTTGTGGAGACCAACTCTTTGACTGAAGCTGTGCAGCTAGCCAGCTTCTCTGCTGTCATCACAGAAACCAGTTGTGCCAAATAAATCCTGGTGCTGTAAACCTCAAGTCCGCGAAGTGCACCGAAGGCCTGTTCACGGCTGGCGCCGGCCTCGGATCCTCGCCTACGCTGAATACACCTTCACAGGACCATCTTGTACCACTCGCAATTGCCATCGAAGCTCTGAGACCCCCGGGCTCTGTGCAGGAGCCCAGACGAAAAGAGGAAGCCTTCTGCAACTTGGCAGCAACACAGGCTTCCGCACCAACAAAGATGCCATTGAGTCCAAAAGACCTGGCCGTTCCAAGGTTTGAAAATGGCCTGCGAGTTGATGGGTGGGTCGCAGATTACAGGTGCAGCCCTGCGTGAGCTACCGCGCGGAGAATGGGAAGCATCTGTAAAGCTCGAGGATGATCGGCTCCTTGGCTGGGGTGATTCGTGGATTCGTGGCTGACCAGGTGGCTCACACCCACAGATCTTCCTCTCAGCCGCTGGGTCGACAGGGCTTTGTGTGCCGAGGCCCCCGCATGGGAAAAGCTACTGTAAAGACTGTCACGATCTGTAAGATACCCGACTTTACATGCAGTTCTCCTGCGCGCAGAGTACAGGGGATCGATGGCCAGAGCTTGAGGCGCAGCTTCTTACCTCCCTCTGCCAGCAGCGGGAGCTGGTGAACTTGACCGGCGAGGTCCGGATGAGTTGGAAATGCCGTGCTCTTTTCGTACTTCTGAACGCTTCCTGCCAGGTCGAACTTTACACGTCTTCCCCTCCCTGCCTGTCGCCGACACCCGAGATGTATCATCACCAGACGGGTCAAAAGCGAGGTAGCAGTTTTTCGAGACCCTAGCACAATCCTGTCGAGATGCTCTTAAGGTGTCTGGGCCTCTTCTTCCAGTTCAGGGGGGTGTTTCTCCACGCGACGCTGCGCTTCTCCTGCGGCTTGGTGCGTGCCTGGGAGGCGCCCCCTTAGCTCAGACCCAGGACTTGCCGCAACAGCCCTGAACCCCAGAAGCTTTCTTGGACGAAGTGCGGGCCTGAACATGGAAGGCGTGGGTGCCGCTGTGAGGCTGCAAACTGTGCTCAACTTCAACAGGCAGTTTATCTGGGAATGAACCTATGTTCTGCTGTTAAACGCATGAATGTCAGAGCGCATGGGTCCAAGACATTCCAAGAGGTTCCTTGCGAGTTTGTTTCTAATCCGACGACAGAAAAGTCTCACCGACCTTGCCAGATTCCATTTGGCGTATCTGAAGGACAAAGGATCCGTGCAGTGCTGGAGTTTAGATCGTTGTGTGTGAGCATCAGGCACATACGTCGGTAAGAGCTCAGTAGCATTGACCGTATTGCAGCCTCAAGACAACTCATCATGACGCATGAAACGCACCACACCGACTCGACAAAGAGCATACTGCACATGCAGCGAACACTTGTCAGCTCACCCTCGGATCCACCATGCTTCCAGCTTTGGAGGCTTCCGTTTTGTGGCCACAGGGCCCTCACGGCCAGTTCTTGCATCGTTTCTTCGCAGGCTGCAACATGTGCTCAGCGTTTGAACCCTTCTGGGTATTGTGTATGTCAAGGCCCGGCATGCTGAGACTCGTGATTGTGTATTCAGGTTGTGATCGGAGCAAGACTAATGAACCACCACGGAATCTGCAGATGAGCTGTGATCGAGAAGGGATGCAGGCAGTATCAGGCAGTCTTGCGGTTTCTGTGAAGTTGTCGGAAGGAGCTTCTCCGGCTTGCGCCAGCAGGCCCCCACCGAGGCACTGCTCAGTGCAGCTGACTCTGTGCCAGATTTGATATGCCATGCTGTCGCCGGCAAGAGGTCTCGTGCTGTCCCCGTGCTGGCTGCAGCTGTGGGCTGCGCCCTGGGGCAATTGTCAAGGCAGGAGGCTGCGGTCGAGCTATCATCGATATGCATGGACCTCGAGCAGAGGTTAGAGTACAGCGGCCATACAGCCAGCTCAAACGATGGGTGAGTGGTTCGACCAGGTGTACTTCACGGACTCGGCATCTTCGACGGGTGCTGCAGCCGTTCGCGATCGAGCCGATTAATCCTTTCATGGCAGAGATGAAGGCAGCTCCGCATTGACTTGGCTTTGTCGGCTGCTTGCGACTGCAGGTAAGCAACAAAAGGCATGCCCAGAAACTCTCTCTGTCTCTCACTCTATCTCACTCTGTCTCACTCTCTTTTGGTATATATATATATATGCTACCCCC